AAAGATGTGGTGGATCAAACAAACAATAAATAGTCTGTCCATTAAAATCAAAGAATGGTTTAAGAGAATCCACTCCTAAAATTCTAAACAACCTACTATTATTTCCCCCCTGGTCACAAACCAGAGCTTTAACTATGGCATTAGCATCCGATAATTTTGTTAAAGCTTCTGTGAGTATTTCTCTCAGTCTTTCTGCATTTATTGCATGGTTGGAGAAGTAAAATCCAAGTGGAAGTTTCTTCTTGCTGGTTAAACTTCTCAGCATTAATACTAGTACATGATTTGCAATTGAATCACTGGGAAAACCACCTAAGTCCTCAAATCCAACTATGCGATCATTTTGTTTATCATGCACTAGACAGGGTTTCAACGACATCTCATCAAAGATCAATGCAAACATTCTTTCGTGATTTTCCTTATTTTGTAAAACTTGTTTTAGTGCTGATATGATATCTGCACTGATTCCTGTACATGACAATTTTGATGAGACAAAAAACGTTGAAGAGTTCGTTCAGCTGGAAGTTCAAGGAACTCTTTCAAAACACGATAAGCTGCCCGACTTTTGCTGTAGATGCGGTAGGCATCGATTTTATCTGAATGCGTAAAACGTCTTCTTTTTGTTTTCTGGGTATTCAATGTTACCTGGCGTTGAATAAAAGAAGATAATTTTTTACTAACTCCTTGACTGGAAAGGGTTTTTTCAAGAGAATGAGCTGTAGAAAATTTCTTCTTAGATGACACAAATTTTAATTTCAGCCGTCTTGCCATGTCACGATATTTTTTAACTTTTTTTTGACAATTGTGATTTTCTGGGTGTGTATTTTTTCCCAGAATAATGTGACTTCGGTGTGCTACAGCTCACTGGTGTTGAAAATGACTGCTGTGGAATGAAAGACATTAAAGATGCGTTACAAGTTGAAAGTTCAGTGGAGCAGACATTTTGATAAAGATTATTGGGTCCTTGAACATTGGATATTAATTCCTGTTGAAAATCTGACTGATGATGTTCAGAACTGTGATATGATTTATCTCGGGCATTTTATCTCGAACTGAACCATTTGTCACAGAATTTGGCACTGTCATGTGACTTAACTCAGGCACTTTATCTGGAACCAAACCCTTTGTCACCTGGAGTTTTGTAGAACATGGTACTGCATTGTGTACTAAACGATGTTTAGTAGTGATATTAACGAAGCACCAGTCTTCAAAATGTACCATACATAGATAGGCTCTTTTGTGTAGGTCAGAGGCAGGAACACCCACAAGCTTTTCATTCTGCGAAGCCTTGACCCAAGCTTGGCATCTAAAAAAAGCAAAAAAAGATGGAAAATAAATAACTATACATACATAACTGCATTAGTTTAATGTATAATATAAATTGCATTAATTTAGTGTTCTGGAGATAACCCTAATACTGCCCTACTGCCCCCTCTCCATGAAGCAATTTTACTTTTTTAAGCATCTATGAAACACCAGCATACTTTTAAATAACAGATAATGAAATATTGATTAATGTGAATTATCCCTCTTCCCTACATTTAAATTGAAGCCTGTATTTCCTGAAAAGATGAAAGCAAAACTAGTGTCTTCATTGAACAATTTATTATAGGTTTCCCCCAATCCTCTCCATGAAAATGTCATACGGACTAATAAGATTTTTTTTTCTCATATCAAATAACAAAAAATGAATAGAAAAAATAAATTTGACAATATTTTTTTCAATCTAAGGGGACCAAAACAGCAAATTTCATGGCCCACGGGAATCATCACGTTCACACAGTAAGAGTCATTTACTTTTTATCACTTCACTTGGATAAAACAACTTCATTATTCTATTGATACCCATTCTCCAATTACGTAATCGTTTACCCGTAATTTGGACATCCATATTTTGTTTACTATTGTAAACAGTGCATTTTGCCTACACCTTTATAATTGGTAAACTATTCCTAAAAGTAGATTTACAAACTAAAAGCATGTTCTTTTATCAATCATATCACCTTAACAATCAAAGATCATTTTTCTTTTTTTTTTTTTTATTATTATAATTCACGCCAGTAGCTTAGTATAGCATGCAGTTAATGTAAAAGTACTGTAATGTGTTTTGTTTCAAACATTTCTCTCTTAACACTTTTTGATTATCCAGATCACAAACAAAAGCAATACATTAACAACTTTTAAGTTGCTTCAAAAATAACACCATTACTTTTAACAGGGTTAGGTGGCTATAATGTGCCAAACCTAAAGGAACTGTAATATAAATAACTCTGGATGTGCAATATTGCGGGAAGAAAAGGTCTAAGCTTCACTTTTTTTGTTTCTGAACCGGCAAATAAACGCCAAACAAATAAATGGGCGATTCTGCACTTTAGCCGAATTTTTAAACCGAATTTTTAAATATCAATTTTTGTTTCCGAGTTTGAGGTACTTTATAAATTTTTCAGCAAAAGTTCAGGATGAGATACAAATAAATTACATTTAACGAAATAATTTTTTATGACAAAAGTGGAAAGAAATCATAAAATAATTTAGTACTAACCTTTGTTCTTCCTTGGGAAATCTGTAGAAATGTATTCCATCACTTTTTGATTCAATCTTTCTATTACAGCCTTTAAATCTGCAGTAGCGATAATTATGTCAGAAAAAATGAAAATAATAATGAAATTGGGTCTGAAAAGATCCGTTTGATAGAAAACTGCAAAGAAAAATGTACGTGAGTCAAATCAATGCAGGAGCTCTTGAAACCAGCATGGGCATTACGTTCAAAAACAACTGTAAATGGGGAGCATGCGCAGTTCAATTAATTGTGTTTCCACAGCGCAACCACCAGGAGCGCTGCGATCGCGACAAAGCGCAGGTTCGTCCATTGAGCTGACGACGCTTTATTTTATATACAGCTTTGGTGAACACGTTTTAGTAAAAGATCCGGAGGCGGAATGGCAAACCTCACATTGAGTTGACCAATGTTAAACGAATTTCGCTCACTGCGCATGCCCAAAATAGAATTTCGTGCAATTACAACTTTGGTGCAATTTTAAAAGAAATAAATACGGTATATGGTTAATATTGTGTTATCTGGTCGTAAACAGTTCAAACTTGTTAGGCTGTAAGTTGCTTCGTTACATATAGTTTAACTGTCGATTGTAAACTACGTAAATTTTAGTTTCAGATGGATTATATTACAATAGTATAGGAAACATTACAAGATAAATTAGCTGAGTGCTTATTGATTATACTTCCGAGGAAAAAGCAATTGAGTATTTACCATATGTTTCATTCCTGTATACTTTAACAAATTAAGGAATAAATCCAGTTTAAATTACTGAATTAAAGTCAAATAACTGATATTAAATGTAATATTTATAAACAAAATAAACCAAAATGAAATGAAACAGAAGCACATGCAATAAGCACACACAAATTTCCGTAATATTTCAATTGTAAACAGTAAAACTAACATGACTAACAGGCTTGTGTAGTGTTGCTTCTGATTATTCATTCATTACATTATGGAATAATGAAGAAATTTATAGTGTCTATATGTATATTGAAATGACAGCTTCAGAATATAAAATTATTCAGACACGATAGAAGGAAAAATCACTTAACTAATTGATTGCTTACTGATAAATTAATTGAATGTTGAAGCAATTAATAACACATAGTAACTTTTGATTTAGTTAAATTTTAAATATAATCACAGTTTCCTCCGACAGTAACATCAGATTAAGCCCACGAAATCACCGATACCAAGAGTGCACTTTTTTGTGTCTGTCATTAGTTTAAACCTTGCACACATTATTGGTGACATTGTATGTGCCCAACCCTGTCTCATTTTGAAACAATGCCATTACGCAAACCGGAGGGGGGGGAGCTGGCGTTTGGATGGTGGATTATCGGCCGGTTGCTGATAGGAATTAGTTGCCAAATCTGGCGCCCCGTTCAAATAGTTAAATTGATTTTGAGAAGTGATAGTAGAATTTCGGCTGGAATTGGATTGATTTGATAGTGTTTATCTGTAATAAGGGAGGTTCCATATGTAAGAACGATTGTAAATTATTTAATTGTTATTAGACAAAATATCTATTGAGAAAATGGCAACAGCTAATTTCTGGATGTCGTTCTATTATATAATTTTAAAAATATACTTTCAGATGATGTATGCTTCAAATGTTTAACGGTACGATGCAGTAAGTACGTTTGTTATGTTATGTACGTTTACGAATACGTTACGTATAGGTTATTAAGATTTATCTTCAAATAAATGTTTGTCTTTTACAACCATTTTACGAGTGATTAATTTAACTACAAAAGGAAGATAACACATAGAACAATCTTGGTCTGTAATTCTGCATTTTTTTTTTTTTTTTTTTTTTTTTTTTTTTTTTTTTTTTTTTCAGGATCTGTGGAATTCTGAAAAGGAGTTGCCGGAATTTGGGTTTGAGGAGGATTAGTTTGAAAGTGTTATAAATTTTGGCTGTTAGTAGTTTTTTGATTTTTTAAAATAAATGAATCAGTTTTTTGAACATATATTTCATTAATTTTAGCAAAGTACTCTTCTTAAGTGGCAGGTAAGGAAAATACGCGGGATGCCTAAGCGCTCGCAAAGCTGCGTTTAAAGTATGGATGATATATTAACCTTTCGGATGAAACTGGTTGATCTTGTTATCATTTTCTGTTTCGAGATGGAAAATTCTTAGAATCTCGAATTGATAAGTTGTTTTTCAGATCATAAATTTTCAGCGTCGCCTTAGCGAAATCAATTGGAGAAGGCGGTGGAGGAGTAATCTCTGAATTAAGAATGGCGATGTGCCGAGTGACAAGTCGAGCTAGCAATCAGCCATAGTTTATAAATTAGAGTTTTTAAAGCTTTCAAGCATAAAGCCTGAAGCACATTCGTCATCTTGGTCCATGACGGGAATTAATAATTTTTTTTTTCAACTTATAAAATCTTACGTACATAAACAAACTACTTCCTTCCTCTTTTCGGGTCAAAAGGCGTTCGAACTTAGTGCATCCAAATATTTGTTTTGCATATAGTGTGTGAGATTTTAGTAAACCCCATGCTTAAGTTTTCATTTTAATGTGCTATGGTTCGTTTAAGTTTACATTTGTTGGTAAGTTGAAAAATAGAAATTTTTAAATCTTTGAATGTACACTATATTTAATGGATAATTAAGCATTCTTTCACTTGTCTCTGTAATACTTAATTATCCATTAAATATAGTGTACATTTTTCGGGGAAAGAGCAGAATCACCCACTGCTTGGCGCGTTTTTAAGAATTGTTCAAATTCGGTATCCATGCGCACATCGACCTATTTTAACTTAAAAAAAATCAGAGAATTGCTCTAATTCCGCATTGCGCACTCCCTTGACTTTGACCATGTACACATCGATATATTTTCACTTAAAAAGGTCAAGGAAAATTGACAAAAATCCAATTCCTCTTACTCTTATAAAAAGCGCTAAACATAACGCGTCAAAAGAGTGAGCGATTCTGCAATTCACCCTATTTTTCCTATATGAATCATACGGTCTTGTGCATTGCATTAAATTTTATGAAGATTTTTTGTAACATTAAAACTCACAGGCAGTTCATTAATTTTCAAGTGTCATTTATGCTTATCTAAAACTCCAAATTTGTACTACAGAGAAATGAACGTGTTTAGGTTCCTCATTTTAAAGCTGAGGAATTCATATTAATGTTTATTTTATTGTGTAATTAATGAAGTTAATAGATTATTGTTTTTTTTCAAATATTTTAAAAATGGACATAAAACATACCAATTAACTTACAGATATTATTAAACCCTGTGTATTTCTTTTAAGTTGCAATAAAATTTTTGGTTTAATCCTAGTATCCGGTGCACACGGGATTTGGCTACTTTTGGCGACTTTATGATGAGCAGTAAAAACGGGACATATACGATTAGTAAACGGGTCATTCAAAGAATATCTAGTGTTATACATAGTATATACTATGTATATAGTGATAGTAAATAGTATATACATAGACGTTCTTTGGGTCATTTTTGGTGTTGGCGATAATTTTCAAAAATTGCGCCAAGGCTGCACCGTATACTAGGATTTTACCAAATTTTTATTCACAAGTAAAAATCTGAGATGGTATCATTTTTCCAAAGAGAAATTTTGCTTTTACTATAGCTCGTTTATCCAACGCTTATGTTTTTCAATTTTATTTGCAGAAATTGGTTATTAAATATCAGTGAAATGATGTTTTTTTCCATGTACTATTTACCATCTTTTTTAAAATCTGTTTATTTTGAAAAAAGTTATTCAAAATGTTTCTGATTAAAATAAATAAATAATTCATAAAGTTCTAAAAATGGACTTGAGCAATGATTTGGACACTTAAACATTGCATTGAGTACATGTAATAAAAGCATGAAAATAACTAGACGTTCAACATTTCGATGAATATCCTTTAGCTAAAAGGCAGATAGCTCTCATATGCTCTGCTATAATTAAATAAACCTACTAAATTAAACCTTTAGTTAAAGTTACATTTTTCATCTGATTTGGTATGGATTCATTTAATTTTTTCATGTTAAAATATTCAATTTTATTCCACAGCAATTGCTTTTAGTGTAACTTTTGAGGAAATAATCATGTTTCCTTATTCTTTTCTCCAATTCACTCCATGCATGTTCAATAGGATTTAAGCCTGGAAAATGATTGTAGAATGAAGTGTTGGTAACTTCGAGACAATTGTATCGTAAACGCAAGTGGTAAGGGTCTTAATTTGAATGTATTTTGCATTCCAAGTTTTCTTGCTGATGCTTTCAGGCTTCCATTAAGAATATTTATATGTTTATACTGATGTATTTTATTTTCTCGAATGATTGAATTTCTTTTTTCAGAAGCAACAAAACACCCCCAAAACATTAAGCATCCATCCCCATACTTAATATTAGTTACTGAAATAGTTTCCATTGCATTGATCTAAATGTATTAAAAATTGATCGAGCATTGATCTAAATGTATTAAATTTTGATTCATCTACAAAAATAACATTGTTCCAATATGATAAATGTTTGCTTACTGAGAATTTTGTGCATTTTCCTTGTTTTCTTGTTATTTTGATAAAAAATAATATGATTATATCTTTACATGATAATTTTTGTGCTTGGGAATTTTGTTTTTTCTTGTTTTCTTTGATAAATTTTGTTCCAATAATTTCCTTTCTTGTTGATAATAATCGTATTTTTTGGCTGATCTCTTTGGAATATGGTAACAGGTAGTTTGGCAACATTTTGGAGGCGATAAAGGTTACTACCTAGGACTTTTGGGAATAATGTGAGAAGTACTCAGTTCCGATTACGCGATTATATTGTGTGAGGGAAATGAGAGATCATGAGATGTCATGTGACATTAATGGACGAATCACTGTTCTTTAATCGGAAAAAAAAAGGGTGTAAATTTGTAAAAATATCTGCTTTAGAGCATTAGTTTTCATTCTATGTTCTGTGAAACAGTGTTGTTTAATATTTGGGATCCCATGGCCCTATATAAGTAAATCCGAAATTTTTATTCCGTTTATGTGTAATTGCTTAATTGCGGCTAAGTATGAATGTCCAACATGTGGGTATGAAATGAGATTGTGTGAAAGGAAGGATATTACAGATAAGTTTGAATGGTGGTGCAAGTTTTTCGAGATCAGGTAATTTCATATATGTCCTTTTTACCGAATTTAAAGATTCACAAAGTTTTCATGCATTTTCGTGAAATTTTTCTAATTTATGAGAAAAAAGCAGTGTACATGGATATAGTGAAGAGTGTGCGCAATGCCATTTTTGTGCAATTCTGGTATTTTTTTTAAGTAAAAATAAGTCGACATGTACATGGTTTAGTTATATTTTAATTAAATGATAGTTATTTTGTGAATTATATGTTTTGTAGCAATTTGGTAACGTTTCAGTGGAAGTAAACAATGCATTGAGACGAAGTATTTGTAACCATTTTTTAATGTTTTGTTATAGATTCGTGGTGACGTTTATAATAGATTAATTTAGAGGTAAAAGTTTTTGGATATTTTATTTATTTTATACGTGCAAATGTCATCTTTGGAAAGGGTATGTACTTTTTCGCGAAGGTAAATTCATATATGTCCTTTTTACCGAATTTAAAAGATTCACAAGTTTTCATGCATTGCGTGAAATTTTCTAATTCATGAGAAAAAGCAGTGTAACGTGGATATAGTGAAGAGTGTGCGCAATGCCATTTTTGTCAATTCTGGGATTTTTTAAGTAAAAAAGTCGACGTGTACATGGTTTAATTATATTTTAATTAAATGATAGTTATTTTGCGAATTATATGTTTGTAGCAATTTGGTATACGTTTGAGTGGAAGTAAATGTGCATGGAAATAATTTAAATATTTGACACTAAGTATTTGGGTACAACTCTGATATACTGCCTAATTTTCACCAAATGTGGCGATATGTGTTCTGCGCTAGTTTTTGGCACGATTGCGTGTTGTATGGCAACTCTGTTGACGTTGAAAAATCTTTCGCTGGAGTTCATTGGTTCCCGTCATGCTTTGTGTCTGAGAAGCTAGGGGGGGAAAGATTTAATGGTGAAAGTTGTTGAATTGAAGTTCGGCATAAGGAAATATCGTCGTGGCCATCCTGTTGAGGGACAATGGGTATTTGGAGGTGTGGAAAGAAGGTATGGGAGATTATTTTTAGTGTGCTTGATAGAAAGTAGGATTTGTGATTATTTGTTATTTTATTTATTTGTGAACCACAGTATGAATTTTCTGGATAGTGTGTCTGGCTGTCATATAAATACGATAGTGATTACGTGGTGGTATGTTAAAGGCGGTATGAAATTGGTATTTCTGTTGTTCTAAAAATCATTAATGCATAAGTGCATTCTATTTTATTCTTGTTCTTATTTTGTAGAATGTTATGTTCATTGTTTTATTAGTATGAATTTCTGTCGTTATTATTGTTTTTTTGAATTGTTTGAAATTTAAATTATTTTTGTTATTTTGTTGATTAGTGTGTGTCCGTCTAAACTGCAATTTGAGATGTTTTTTTTAAAGTTGAAACAGAACGCTGTGTACATGGTATTCTTTGATTTTGTTGTTATGTTTAATTTATTAAAGCGAGGGGTGCCTAGTTCGTAAATTTCGTTGCTAGATGGTTGCCATTCGTAGATGTTTTTTTTTAAGTTAAAACAAAATAATCGCTGTGTAACATGGACTCATGTAATATTTTGGTTAGAACTTCACGGTTTGCTACCTAAATTTTTTTGTTTTTGTTTGGATTTTTGCTTTAAATTGTGGTTTTAAACGTGTTTAGGTTTAAAGTTCGAAAATGTAGAAAAAAACTTTAGATGCATATGGCACGTATATTTGGCCTAGAATTAGCCCTTGGGGCACATACAGAGGTAGTTTCACAGTCTTTGTACACCTTTTTAATGTTTTGTTATGCTTCGATTGGTGCGGGTTTCTCCTCGCTCCTTCTTGCGTCCCCGTTTTGGCTTTTTCTTTCTCTCTCCCTTGGCCCTGTTCCTACCTGGCTGGTGTTATGAATTTTTTTCGATCAGGTATTTCATGGTATGGCTTGTTACAGGGTTAAAGAGTAACAAAAATGGGCCGCATTCGTGCAATTTTGTAATTTATGAGAAAGACAGTTTTAGATGTATAAGTCAGAGTGTGCGCAATGCCATTTTTTTTGTGGCAATTCTGGGATGTTTTTTTAAGCCCATCGCGATGTTCCCATGGTTACTGTGTATGTCGATTGAAAAACGCGGCAAGAGTTTGCGTTCTGCACTTTTTCTCCCCATTTTGCAGTTAATATTTGTCATGATTACGCATGTTTTGTTCCATACATTTCTAGCAAAGTTAATGCGGCTATGATTTTGGAAATGTGTTGCGTACATAACAAAAAAAAGAAACAGTCTTTTAACCTTTACTCGTGAAGACAACAATGGCGGCGAAAAAAAAAAACATAGAAAAAAAAAAAAAAAAAAAAAAAAAAAAAAAAAAAAAAAAAAAAAAAAAAAAAAAAAAAAAAAAAAAAAAAAAAGGTTGCTGTAGTCAGAGTTAAAAAAAAAAAAAAAAAAAAAAAAAAAAAAAAAAAAAAAAAAA